TACGGAACTACATCCATGCATTCCTCCTTTAATAGATACGGACAATTCTCTCCATTAATTCAAGACTTAAAAACTGCGACAAACAAAAACCAGCAGAACTCAAAGTCAAATACAAGAAACTGGAATAAGAGACATAAAATGACCATACCAATGTGCTCCCTGAATCAATTGGAAAAAGAGGGAAGGAGACTACTTTATCAACAAGATGTTTCAGCAGGTTCAGTGAATGTGGAATTTATATTATAAAACCTATTTATGCTACAACCATTACAGAATTTCCTCATAAATGCCTAATGACCAAGAATCACGAGATATATACATATCAAAAAGGAAGATGAGAAAAAACATTAGACTTTGATGCTGCACAGCATCCTCTCTATCTTTTGCTTTTGTCTTGTCCAGAAAGAATAAAGTTGTCTTTTCCAGAGACATGCCTCTTCATTTCAGGCAAGAAAACTTGTTCCATCATTTTTCTATTAACCGGTCAAGCTCATATAAAATGCACCTCATTTTAATTTTAGAACTTTGTCAGCAAACAGAAACTTCACACAAGGAATATAACATGCACGTGACATCCCATTTTAAATATCATGAAGGAGAGTGTGGTACAAAATTGGAAATATATTTGAATACAGCTTGGTAGGATAGGAGCTCTGTGAACATTAAATGTGTAATTTATATTTGCCAATTGCCAGAAAATACAGATTGAGTGTTAATTATACTATTAGTCCAACACTGAAAAATAAATTAACAGGAATTTGGAGATAAATTTTGAAAACTTGGATTGTCTATACCTTTTACAGGGATATTTAGTCTCAAAATTTATAGTATTGCGACAATAACACCAAATTGCTGTGCATAGCGCCTATATACTAAGGTTCAAATTGCTGAAAATTGAGGAGGTGAAATATTTTTCCAAAAGATTTTGTAAAATTTACTTTTTTGAAAGGGAAAGCAAACGGTTTTTAAAAGCTTTTCATTCTCCTGTAACCCATCCATGCCAAATAGTCTTGTCAGGCATCACCATCTAATAACATGATACAACAATTTAAGTTTCGTCTCAGTTGACACAAGTAATTCATAGTGTGCCTGTAGCATTGTACATAATGTGAAACCCAAACATTCATGTGTATCGTAGCATATGATTAATGATATCCTCAAAATCAGCCTCGTGGAAGTACAACAATCTACAAGCATATGCATATAACATACACATACCACACACAGAGACCGATAAAGCAACATGTAACAGTATCTATAGTAAAAATACTGCTTGCAGCCAGGGGAGAGAAGATGTGAATATGTGATTTTCTTTACTCTCGAGTGCAAAATTGTCTATACTATAGCTCTCAAATTCCTATAACTGGCCAACTAAAAATTCCAAAAAGGAAAATATTGCAACTCAGTAAGTACAAATCAACTTAGTTAACGTGAAAATCACATGACATTATCAGAACAATTAAATGCGGATAACTACAGAACTCACAGAAAGTCAGAAACAACACAACTCTACCCCCCCCCCCCCCCCCCNTTTGATGCACAACGTACCTCATTTCAAAGCACGAGAATATTTCTGTATACACCCGTCAAAGCATTTATCCTTCTACTTGTATAAATATATGTACTTGTTTCCGTATATGTAAATGGAGTTTCTGGTTTTGTTCGTCCTTCGTTCTCGTGGGACTTTCTCTCTCTAAAATTGTACGTAATTATTCTCACTAAATTTCTGTAAAAAGTAAAAACTATTCTTGCGCCCGCAACTGGGCTGGACACCGCAGACGATGATTGGAGAAGGCCTCCTGCGAAATTGGACCTTTGAGCATTTATTTTGTTTTCTTTTTTTAATGAATTATTAATCTTACTTTGCTGATCTTTCCTATTTTTAATGATGGTATAGTTGAAAGTGAAAATGTTCTAAAATGATCCTTTTCAAAAATATAAATATGTAGACACCCATGGTCTGTTTCTTTTGCAAAAAGTCAACCTAAAAACTCGAACAAGCGTTTGTTGGAAACTTCGTTGATTACAACTTTCTGAACTTTGTTAACTAGATAATCCTAAGTATTCTCTTCTAGCTCAAGGTGTAGGTTTGATTAAAAAGGCTTTCGGTCTTAAGAACGCTAATTTTAAGAATCAGTGATTGTCCATCTCTGATTCTTACTGTCCAACCTGAAAACAGACAGCTTTTTACGAATTGAATGTCAATAAATCCGTGAGTCTAGAAATTCATTTCGGTCAATTGAACCAGACAATTTCAGTATAGAAAAAGTAAGAATGGATTAAAAAAAAAAACTTTTCAAATTGTCTTGACATTATTTTATTTTATTTCTTTATAGTCAACAGTACCCATATTTAAATTATTAACATTGGTAAGGTGATACAGAAAAAAATGGTTATGGAAGCGTATTAAAGCTAATAATATTTTGTTATGCTCAATGGCCTAATTTTTAATATATCGATGAGTTTATTACACGAGAATTTGAAAAATTTGATAGAGTAGCGTGGATCGCATGGATGGAGCAGAAAGCATGTGGTACATGGGGCAACAATTGAATGGAAGATGTCCTCATTGAATTAATGCTTGTTTGGTAGTGTTTATGAGTTGTCTCATTCAAAACGTTTAGTAGTCCCTATTTGGTTAGATGAAAATCATATTTTTAGTAGATTTCGATAAAAGTTGATGTAATGTGTGGTTGAAAAGTTATGAATCTCATGAATTGTCTGATTATGATTAATTATCTACTTGACTTAAATTTTAATTTTAAGCTAAACCAGGAAAGGGGAATGATAAATGGATAATAAATCGTGAGTCATATGAGACGTATGAGAAAGAATGATTGATCAACTTAAAGGTTTGTTTAATAAAAGTTTTGACATAAAAATGTACTTCAAGAACTTTATTTGTACTCTCTCCTTGCATGTATAATTTTTGTTGGGTTTCGATACCTAATAAATTCGGATGATGATGCAAAACAGATGTCGGATAATTTATCGACACCATGACTTGGCTAGACTCTGAAATGACCAACACTAGGCCCAAGTAGTGATTATTGGGTTGGGTTATTAACATGTGCGTGCTTTGTGTTTTAAGAGAGAAATCGTGATTGTTTCCCTTCTTCTTATTTGTGCTTTTTGCCTCTTGTTTTCTATATGCCTTCGTGGCTTTGCAAACATCATCATACTTGTGCTCCTTGTAGCCGTAGGTACATTAGAAGTGACATAAATAGTTGTCGGTTGGAGTCAATTGATTGATTGTGGTTTGATATTGGTAAGTTTAAATTGAGCCCAAAATCCACCAATTGAAGATCAATTCCGCTCGTATGGTATCGAGCGTTGGTAGGCGAGAAATCTGTGTTTTTTGGGTGAAAATCGAGCTGAAAATTGGCAGAAAAACGGAGCTGAAAATAGATCCCCAAAAGCTGTCCAGATCAAAATCAATATGTCCGGATCTATTTTCTTGATTTCTGGACAAATCACTTACATGTTGGAAGAACGGAGACCACCAGCATGTTTAGCAGACGGAGGCGTGACTAGGTAGGTGGGGCGTGACTGCCAATGACAGCGCGTGGCAGTGGGCACATGGAACTTGGCGATCGCGCATATCGGCGCACGAGGGCTTCTAAGTACATAGTTGCTTATAAGTATCTTGGAAGGATGGTGCAAGAATAAAGTTACTTGCAGTCGCTCACTACAGCAATCGCCCTATGTGGCACACACATATCAATTGTGTATTTGATGCATTAAATGTGGTCAAAAACTACTACATTAATGTATCAAATAACTACATGTCATGTGTGTATCACATAGGGCGACTGCTGCAGTGAGCGATTGCAAGTAGCATTACTCATTGTGCAAAGTTCACACGTCTCTTCGCATCCACTTTACTTATTATTTACATTATTAGTACCTCTTTAGTAATTGTACACTATGGCTAATAATTTAACACATACTAGTTCCACGTTTCACAGTTTAATACCAAAACATAATAATGTACCGTTACTTTTTAAAAAAATTCAGACGAAAATCAAAAATAAGTTGCATCAATTTTTTCCTGTTTTGAATTAGAAAATTGTTACCAAAAAAATTGTATTCCCTCAGCGCCATTTATATAGGCTGGCTTCGTTTTCCACATGGATTAAAAAAATTTATTTAATATTATTTTTAAAAAATTTTGTCAAAAACTTTCTTAATTTAACCTTATTTAATTATCAACAACTAGTAGTAAATTATTGGTGGATGTAGGAAAGAAATTGAATGATTTAATTTTCAAGAAGTATGTATCTTTATGTTTGTACAATTTCAAGATTAAGTAGAAATAATTAGTTATTACTGAGCAAATTAAATAAGAGTATATTAG